AGATGTGTTTGTTTGCAAGTTCATTACGAGGATGATAAGTTCCTCTGAAGGTTAAATGATAAGGTGCTGTTGTCTTTAAACTTTTCTTTTTAACTGTACATATAAGCCCTGCTTGCATTAGTCACATTTGGCCCTTCTAAAGTGAGCGCCGCTGTGACCTGGTATATTTTTTGATAATATTGAGCTGTTGTCTGCAAACAGGACAAAGGACCAGGATGTACATTTCAAACCCTAAAGAAACGTACATCAAGGAAGGTACGTGAAGTGCATTGGGTTGAAATAACAATGGCTTAGGGAGGCAAGATTGACAGGCAGCTGTAACACATGAGTAATTACCTGCCACTTCACATTTCACTTCTCAGTCAAAACCTTGAAAGGTCATCTGTGCCATTTGTGGATGTACAAAAATGGAAGTAGAGGTTCATGCTTAGGGAAGCGTATGGAACTCTTGCACCAGTGTAAAATTAATAACCTGAAAAAAACATTTGCATTTTTATAGAGCTTGTCAGCCAGCACTTGTGAATGACCGTCTGATCATGAGCCGTTGTCCCACTCTTTTAGTTTTCTTTCCATGCCTCCTTCCAGAGGCATCATCACACACACATTGTTATTAATGTCCCGACTTTGTGTGTGAAATGATTTATATTTCTTTAGTTGTCTTATCTGACCTAACAAACAACAACACTTAAAAGTTCATATTGAAAGTCTAAGATAAAACATTCTAGTGGTACAGTTTTTGTTTAGTGTCCAAGGTAAAAGAGAAATATACCAAGTTCAAGTTCATATTTATTTCTGTAGCATATTTAAAAAAAATAATACAAAAACATAGTTGACCACAGAGCTGTACATAAAATAATAAACAGTTAAATTAATTAAAAACATAAAAATGAAAAACTCAGAACTCATTTAAATGTGTAAATGTTATTTGAATATGCATTATACTGATTTTAACCTCATATAGTAATATACAGAGAGGGGTTAAAATGACATGTATAGTCTTTTATTTATTCATTTATTTATTAAAACTTAAATAAAACAAAAATCTACAAAAAGGTTCAATTTGCTAAGTTAATACGTCACGTCTGAAATGAAACTAAAAATAAGTGTATTCTGGATGAAAAATGTTTATAAACAAACTACTTTTTTAATTAATGATGTAAAAGATGCATTAGCTATGTGTGTGTGTGTGTGTGGTAAAAGTCATTTTGTTCATTTTAAAATATACTATTTATGTAAGTATATATGTCTTGTATAAATATGTAGAATTTTAACCTCATAATATACAGAGTGGAAGAGAGGTTAAAATTCTATGTATTTAACTCAATTTTGGCACATAGTTATAATTGTAATTTTGTTTATGGGTTCACATACTCTTGACTCCATTCTTTCCCATGCTGCTGAAAAAACAACAGGTGGTGTTTTCTTGCGCTTCTAACCTTTTCTTTCAATCAAGCTGAGTCCTGTGCCCCAAATACCTCTCCCCTGCACCCCCTCCCTGTGGGTTTCTCCATGCTGTGTTTAAAAATAGATACTGCACTGGGAAGGCTCTGCACACAGATCAGTGTGATGTTATTCATGGCTGCACAAGTTTTTAGGCTCGATGATGAGAGGTTTTCTTTTGTGAAATTTAGCAGTGGAAAAATGCTAAAAATGATAATAAAATGAATTTTGGGTTATTGGTCTGACCATATTTACAATGTAGAGATGTATGGCGATTCCTTTATGTTAATGAATCATTGTTTATTGTGGTGCCTACAGAAATGTCCATCATTTTCGCTCTGCATATTTTCAAGGGAATGAAATATGTTGAATGGCTTTGGTGATGGGGTCCACAATACTGTATTGAGCACATAATGTCTTGAGGCTGAAAATGATTATGTATCAACTAATATAATTATTGGCAAGGCTTTTGCATGATGGCAGCACATGGATTTATTTTTTTCACTAAGAAAATATCATCCAGTTGTCAAAGAAAGTTTGTATGACTGACTATATTAATAGTTTTCAAGTCTTTTAAAATTATTTTCCCCTAGCAGAACAGGGCTAAAATTAAAAGAATAAATTGTAAAAATGTTACTCATTTGGTTATTAAATTAGCTAAATTATTAATTTATTAATTATTATAAATTATATTAGTTTTATTGCCAGTTCCCTAAGTCGAGCTCAGTAATTGTTCGAAACTGATTGAAAAGGCAGATATCTGACATCTGGTGGCACATGCAAGACAAAAGTTTAATCTTCATTTAATCTTGTATAAAACTTTGATAAAACATAAAAACATACACGAACACTTCACAATGATGTTTAACTATTTGTTAGTTAATAAATTAGATATCATAAATGTACAATAAACAACAATTTTTTGATCTTTCATTATTGCATTTACAGGTTAATTTCTACATACAAATACATTTTAACATATTGAATTCTATAAATAACATTAGTTTATGTATTTTGAGGGAACAATTTGTATTTTAATCAATTAACATTAGCCTAGATTAATCCTATAAATACAACTGTATTAATGCTGTAAAATATGCATTAACTAATGCTAACAAATTGAACCTCAATGTGTTACTAACTAAGGGACAAATAACTCAGTGCCCCTTAAAGCAGGACATATAGAAATATCCTCGAATTTCATTATGCTAAAAAAACAACGCTTCTTATTTCCTCAGTATCTGAATTTACTTTCTTTAGTTTATACACTTCCTTTGTTATTGCGAAGCAAAAAGCAAATGTCTTATGCTTATGATTTGTTTTGTGGCCATACATGCATGTGTCTGTTCTCAGCTGCCTACATCTTGAGTCATAAACACATCTGCATAATTCCTCTGTGCATCTATCAGTTTCGATTTACACTGGATCCTGTTCCTTTAGCCTGTGGCCATGTACCAATTCCATTAGTCACAATGTTTATATATTTTTGTCTTTTCTTTGTCCCTTATTGGATTGCAGTGGATGAGAATGGCACAAAAGTTTGAGAGATTGCTCTCTCTCCTTCTGTCTGTCTTTCTCTCTCAGTATTATTTATGCATCAAGAGTCCTGAACTTTAATGGACATCATTCTTAGTATGTCACCCATGCCAGAAATAAAGCTCATGAACACATCCTGTTGTCTGCGGGGTTTATCTGTGCTAACTCATTCACTGTCAGACCATGATCATTGACAAACCACCTGAACCTCCAGATAAAACAGAGTTAAAAAATAGCCTCCAAAGTTTGACTTTTTCTTTTTAATTAGAATGCATACAGAAATGTCACGAAAGTTAAGAAACCTATTGAGTTGACATAGGTAAATTACAGTTTGTGTAACCTAGGCAACTAGATCTATGTAATTTAAATGTGTTGTTAATAACATCCCTGAGAACTTTACCCTCTTATTCATGGAACAGCTAATAGATTTTGTTACAAATCTGTATTGATTTATCCAGTATATTTGCATAAAGGCCAGCTGCAGAAGATGATCAAGATCAATCCTGCTGGTCATGGCCATCCCAAGCTGGGGCGGGGCCCAGTGCAAGGTACGGAGCAGGGCCCCCTTCTGTCTGTTCACGATCGCGTTCTGAGCGGGCAAGTCCTCCTCATCATCCACATACTGTCACACTTAGCCAACTGTGCTGGAGACGAAGGAGAATTATTATCAATGGTCTTTATTCATAAACGCAGGCAGGAACACACACGTAGGGAAAGGATTCACGAACATTCAATACCGGACGAAGAAACAATGAAAAACACAGGGCTTAAGTACTCTGAACTGGGGAACACCTGGAATCAATGACATAATAAACATAGGAAACACCTGGGACAAATGAACCTAATCAGGGAACAGGAACAGGAAGACCAAATAAGGGCATAACCATAGGGGAAAACTAGGACATAGAGCACAAGTGGAGCAAAACACAAGACACAGGACTGACACATACAATATTTATGAAAAGGCAACATGCTGCAACATGCATTAACCTATCAAGTCAGGTCACCTTTATTTATATAGCAGTATACAGCACAGATTTGGGTAGCTTTGCGGTGATAGAGAGAAGATAACGATCATGGTGCGGGTGGAATAATGTAAACAATCATGGTGCGGGCGCAGCTTCGGGGAGAAAATGGTAAGCGGGTGTTGTTCGGTGAAGTCGGTTCAGTATTGATTCTTTTCGAGTATTGGACACTATTGTTCTATCTAGTTGCATTGGAAACATGCTTATTCCAGTGCTGTCTGGTTGTTACTGGAGCATGCTTGTTCCAAGGGTTTCTGGTTGTTATTGAGAACATGCTTGTTCTTAAAGCTATAGTTGTATTGGGAACATGCTTGATCTTAAGGTTGACTGGTTTCTGTTGGAAACATGCTTGTCTAAAAGCTATCTTGTTATTGAGAACATGTTGTTGCTTAAGCTTTTCAGGTATTGGCAAAATACTCACTAGGCCATCTGGTTAAGGGCAACATGCTTGTTGCTATGGCTTATGCGGGTTTTTGGCAACATACTGGTAGGGTCATTGGGTAAGGGCAACATGCTTGTTGCTTAAGGCATTGAGATCGTTTGGGATGCCGGGTGTACCCGCTTAATTCAGCCTGGGTTACAGTCATTTTCTGTAATTGGTGCAGCATGTGGTTCACATCTGCCTGGGCGTGGGCGAGGATTTCTCGAGTCCAACGGGCTCCAGCCCAAGTGGTTTGAGCGGCTGAGGGGTGTAGTGAGCTCTGACAACATCACGGGGATTGAGTCAGACGTACACCTTTTGAGTGTAGGTTTTGCAGTTCGTTATCAATAACCCCGATTGTTCACGGAGTACTATCCCCAACGCTGGTCCTGGCGATGCGACTTCTGGCTGGGGCATAACCCCCATTATGCAAAGCAACAAGGCGGCGAGTCTGACCATCTTCCTGGTAATAGAACAGAAAGAAGGAGCAATTAGTTGCGAAGGTCATGGTTTGGCGGGGTCGCCTCGATCAGTTGGCAACGGCTTTTCACAATGATTTACGAAAATTTTGGCGAAACGAGTCAATCCTAGTTTCGGGACCTGGATTTAAAGTTGAGCTAAGGGAGTTCCCTGATGAGGGGACTAGAGGGGAAAGGAAATTGTAGTGAGAGAGAGGGAAAGAAAAAAAAAATTTCAAAACATATAGCTATAAAGGAAAACCCAAAGAGAGACACAAAGGAAGAAAACAAACAAAGAGACACACGGACACCGAATGAGGTGAGACAGCATTTACTCATCCTTTTCCTGCTGGATATAATAGTTGCACTCATTGTTGGTCACAAGACATCGTGGTTTCTATATGTTTTGAACGAACCTTTTCAGTCCTTGATACAAAGAAAGCTTTGTTGTCTCTTGATTGGATCAATCTTTAATCACTCCTCTGAGTAGATGACGACATGACTGGCAGGAAATCGACCCAGAATATTGGAGTCATGTGCTGGGGGTGATTGGTATAGATACCTCATGATATTCACGTGGTGAATCCATAGCTTATGGGGGCCTGTTTCACAAGACAGAGACCTTACATTGATCAGGATAGTGGTCCTGACAGAAATGAGGTTTTATCAGAATAGAACCATAACAAAAATGTTAGATTTTTATGTTTGAAATATGTTTTTTTTTCAATAAGTTAACAAATTGTTTTGATGAAGAAAAATTTACTTTTTTTATGAGACTTTGATGCTGACTTTTTGCTTTATTTACTTATTTGTTTATTGATTTATTTTGTTAATATTATTATATTTTAGTTTTATTATTATTATTATTATTATTATTATTATTATTAGTATTATTATTATATATTTTCTGTTGTGCACCTGTGTTAAACGGGAGATTGCTTTAATATCTGTAACTTTTTGCAGTCATGTTACAACCCTTGTCGTCTGCTCAGACATATTTCTAATTAAAGGTGAAAATTGGAGTAAATGTTATATCTGAAATCAAACAACTGAATCTGCTGATTCAAATAATGCCAACATATTATATCAAATCAAATTAGAACCCAGAATAATTTTTTTTACTTTAATTTGAAACAAAATAAATAAATAAATAAATAAATAAATAAAAATAGAGACCCTTGCATTGAGAATAAGAGGTCATGTGATCAAATCCCAGGTGAAAATACTGCCACATACATACATACATACATACATACATACATGCATACACACATAAAGGGCAGTCCTAACTAAGTTATAGGGAAAGTCATTGTAGGTTTCCTCTAGAAGAAAATCCTCCTTTTCTTTTACAAAACGCTGTCTCATGCTTTTTGTTTAGTGTTTTTTTTAAAGAGAATGCTACATCTGAAGGCTTTCTTGAAGTTTCTGTAATATAATGATTTATTCGCATCCTCTGTGTATAGATACATTCAGCCTTCCATAATGAGCTGCCAAGAGAAACGTTCATATTTCACCAACTTATTCATGTTTTCGGCCTAGCACTATTCTCCCTCCCCATCAATGACTCTGTTTGATGGCAAGGTTGAATGTGCTGCTCAGGGCAGCTTTAATAAAGGCTGTGTACTTGACAGAAGTGTTCCATGGGGTGAGAAATGGGGCTGAACTTAGAGACTTACCTCTGCTCTGTTTTTGGGTCTTGCCAGTTCACCACTGACTTATGCTGTCAGGCTGTTTGTCAAAATGCCTAAATATTTAGCGCACTGTGGAAAATATGAGCCCTTGAAATGAAAGCAGTGTCGGCCTTGTAGAGCCACTGCTTTCTCACTATATTATGCTTTAACCTGATTTGAACCCAGTGCTGTACAACCCCAAAAGTGACCTTGTGTGTTTAAACTAGAACAAATGTCTCTTACACCTGGTGCTTGAATGAATCCCTGTCAGAGATTAATAGTGTTTTTGGTCCAACATTTGGTCACACTTAAGGTTCAATTCTCTCTATTAACAAACCAGTTGCTTATTAGCATGCTTATAAACATATTAGCTGTTTATTAGTACTTATAAAGCACATATTCTGCATGACCATATTCTACATCCCTACCCATTACCTAAACTTAACAACTACTTTACTAACTATTAATAAGCAGAAAATCAGGAGTTAATTGAGGCAAACGCCGTAGTTAATAGTTAAAGGGTTAGTTCACCCAAAAATGAAAATTAGCCCATAAATTACTCACCCTCAAGTCATCCTAGGTGTATATGACTTTCTTCTTTCAGACGAATCCAATCAGAGTTACATGTATATTAAAAATTGTCTTTGATCTTTCAAGCTGATAAATGCCACTCAGCCGGTGTTGCATGCATCAGTCCAAAAGAAGTTAAATAAAAAGTGCCCATCCATTAAAAACGTGTCTCACATGGCTCCGGGGGGTGAACAAAGGCCTCCTGTAGCGAATCAATGCCTTTTTGTAAGAAAAATATCCATAAAGTGATTATTACGTTTTGAATATGGATATTTTTCTTACAAAAACGCATCGATTCACTGCAGGAGGCCTTTGTTCACCCCCCGTAGCCGTATGAGACGTTGTACAGACATAGGCCTGCTGTATGTTTGAATGTGTACACTACTGTTTACAAATTTGGGGTTAGAAAGATTTTTACATTTTGAAAAGAAGTCTATTATGCTCAACAAAGCTGCAGTTATTTGATCAAAAATACAATAAAACAGTAGTATTGTAAAGTATTACAATTCAAAATAATTGTTCTCTATTGTCATGTATTTTAAAATGTAATTTATTAATTTGATGGCAAAGCTGATTTTTTCTTCAGTGTCATGCGATCCTTCAGAAATCATTCAAATATGGTGATTTGGTGCTCAGAAAACGTTTTTATTTATTTATTATAATCAATGTTAAAAACAGTGTGCCACTTAATATTCTTGTGGAAAGGAATCTTTGGTAAATACAACGTTTCAAAGAGCAGCATTTATTTGAGATAATATTTGGAACATTATGAATGTCTTTACTGACATTTTTATTAATTTAATGCATCCTTGCTAAACTGAAGTATTATTATTATTTTTAGTATTTGTCTTAGTTTCTTAAAAACAATGTTTTGGCATCCTGATTCATAACTAATGTTAAATGAGGAGAGAACCGCATCTTAATGTCTCTCATAAGATTTAAAAGAATCAATGTACAGAAAGACTGCAAAAAGTAATAATTTTTGACAAAATGGAAAAGTTTTGTGAACTTTTGTGAACATTCTCTTTCAGCATATTCTTTACAAAAAGACTGATTCAATTGTTAAATTGAAGGTCAGAACAATCTGTTCAGGGGCTAAACAAGTATTATTACAGAGTTCAATTTGTTCTTTTAAAGACCATACCTAACAATAGTTCCCCTTCAGGAACTCGAGCTGCGTCGAGATTCGCGTTGGGAACGCCCTGCGTGACCGCGTTCTGAAGCACGTGTAAAATCAGTCCAATGGAGCAGCGAGATGTCACGAGCGGGTTGACGTGAGTGCCAGGAAGTATAAAAGCGCATCCGGCAGAGCGCAAGTTAGCTTCTGCTCTTCAGTAGCGCTCTGTGTATGTGTCAGTCTATTTACTGTTGTCTGTCAGTCCACAAGCATTCAAAAGAATATGTCAAAGTCTAAACTAATATCTATGGCGAGCAAACGGCATTACAGACGTTGTGTGCCTCCCTGCCCACACTATCTGGCAGCGGGGGATACACACGATCTGTGTGTTGTTTGTGTGACCGAGCGTTCGTGCCGGGTTCGCCTAAACACTTAGGAATAAGAAAACAATAAAAACGAGAGCGTCTGAACTCTTCTTTATTATCCGTCACCCCAGAGAGAGAACTCAAAAACCCGCGACACTCTAGAGCAGAAAGTGCACACGCCCATTGCTTATCTACGGCAAGCCCCGAGGGGATAAATGCATTACACACACACATAACGAGCGCCCGTACATCTAGAATTAGTGCAATATAACAATCAAATAAAGTCTGTTACATACGTCCCCCCCTCACAAAATAAACGTCCCCGTTTATGTGCCAAAATAACAGTCAGAAACAATGAACATCTGTGTACAACAAGACACTAAACAAAGTACAGAGCACATTCAGTAAGGCATGATTTTTCAACAGAAAGTCCCAGCCCAGCAAAACAGTCTGTGTGGTCTCTCTTAGCACATGAAATACATGCTGCCATGACCCAGTTCCCAGCTGGAATGTTACAGTGATGGTGCCCAGTGTATCTAGCATTTGTCCATTCACTGCATGGGCTGACACATAGTCTTTTCTCAGTGGGCGATTGCGAAGTGTAGGAATTGACATACGAAAATCTGCACTCATAAGTGACACACTGGAACCAGAGTCGACTAACATTTGAACCTCCACGCCTTCAATCACTCCTTTCACATATGATACTAACAGCTCCTGGCCAGTGTCCGAACTTAATTCATTGTCTTTTGATACAGAATTACAGTCGTCGACATTGCCAATTTGAGGGCCCATGGGCAACATAGCTGGTGTTTGGGCCACAACATCAGCTACAGTCAGTTTTCCGGCTGGTAGCGGTGCTCCTCTCTGCTAGGTGACATGAAACGCACTCCCCGCTTTCTTCATCCTCATAGCCGTTCCATCTGCGAGAACCGGGGCTGGGCTGTGTCTCGCAGGAGACAAAGGAGAGTGTGAGTCTTTATAACTACGCACATCCATACCTGATGTACGCTCATCACAGTGCTGGAATTTCCTCTCAGGTGAGCGGCCTCTCCGAGCGCCATCAAAAACACGTGACTGGCATCCTCGACCCCCGCAGATACACTGGCACCTTCCATGAAAGAGGCCTCCATCCCACTCGTCCATTGCTCTAGAACTCACTCTGGCCTTCAGTTTTTGATTTTCATCGCCCAAGCGCCTCAATTCCATTCTCATATCCCTCATTTCCTCAGTCAATCGATTCACAGCTCTGTGCAGTCCTCCATTATCAGTCACTGAATATACAGCAGCCACAGCTCCTCCATCATTAGTACTTCCTGCAACATTAACAGTCGTGTAATCAGTCTTTATTGCGTCTCTAGCGTTCTCACACCGACCTGCAATTATCACAGCCTCCTCTAAATCCGTTGCTCCTTGTTCATGGCATTTAGCTCTGAGCACAGGATCCAAGCCAGCAAGGAAACGACGAAATTTTTCTTCCCTCTGGGCTCTGTCGCCGTATTCAGGAAAAGCCTCGTCCACTAACCTGCTGATCTCTGCTGCATACACCTCCAAACTTTCCCGCGAAGCACGAGGGCGGGCTGATAGGCTGGCTCTGAAGCG